CGGGCCAGCCCACCCCGCCGATAGTGAAAATCTCTCCAAAAAAAAAAAAAAGACAGAGACAGAGAGATAGTCAGAGAGTGAGAAATCACCCCCCAGGGGGGATGGCCATGCCACAATCCCTTCTCCTCCATTTTCCTCTCAGGATCTTGGGCACGTGAGTTTAAGCCACTGGGTCTGGGCCTCGAACCACAGTAGACTACATGGGAGTCCAGTGATGCCATTATGCTATCTGCTGGTCCCATATAGACTTTTTAAAAAAATAATTATTTTATTCTTGTTTTTAAAGAATTATTTAATTTTATTTATTATCATGATTTTTAAAAAATTTGCCATAGGACAAGTACACTCACCAGAGAGAGAAAATTAGAAAGCAAGTCACTAGGTTAAGAGAGTAGAATCCTAGGGACCAGCAGTTAGCATAATGGCTATGTCACTGGACTCCCACGTAGTCAGTCAACTGTAGTTCGAGTCCTGGACCCGGTGGCTTAAACTCATGCCGGGCGCATGTGCGTGCATGCCCAAGATCCCGAGAGGAGAATGGAGGAGAAGGGATTGTGGCGTGGCCATCCCCCCTGGGGGAGTGATTTCTTGCTTTCTGTCTTTCTGTCTCTCTCTGTCTGTCTGGCGAGCGCACACACCCTGTAGCAAAACAAAAACAAAAACAAAAACAAAAACAAACAAACAAAAACCTCTCCAAAAAAAGAAAAAAAAAACAGAAAAAGAGAGTAGGATCCTACATGGCCGATCACAAAGTTCATGCCCTGGCTCTGGCATCATGAAAGATACAGGGCACATGCGGATGTACGCACAAAATCCTGACAAGGTGGAGATATAGAGGGGAAGAGTCTGTGGCATGACAACAACTCATTGTGGGTGTTTTTTTCCTCTTTGTGTGGCTCTGGCAAGCACATGTGCCCTCTAAAAATAAAACACAAAAATCAGCATTTTTATACACCAATAACAAACTGAAAAAGAACAAAGCAATACCACATAGAACAGTTACAAATAATTTTTTTTTAAGTTTTTTTGCATCTCCACTCATGTATGCCAACTGTCTGCACTCTACGGTAGAGACTGAAAGATTGGAGGACATAAAAGTTTTGAAAACAGTTATGGACACTGGAGACAGTGTGGAAAGAGGGTGGGAGAGGGGAAGAGTATTGGGAAGGAAATTAGGGAGAAAAAATAGGCAAGACATTTGTGGGACACAGGAGTGGTTTATTACCTGTTGATAATGTGTATAGTATTCTCAACTGGACTGGTCTGAGGTGTATTTCATATGAGTAAATTCTCTTTACAAGCCAAATGATGTATAGGGATTGAATGTATAAAAAAAAATAAGATTTATAAAAAGATTTTTGCTATAGGGTGCACTCACCAGAGACAGAAAGTGAGAAATCAGCCCCCCAGAGTGGTAGCCATTCCGCAATCCCTTCTCCTCCATTCTCCTCTCAGGATTTTGGGCATGCATGCACATGTTCCCAGTATGAATTCAAACCTGGTCAACTATGTGGGAGTCCAGAGATGTGATAAACATACCATCTGCTGGTCCCACAGTTAAAATTTTAAAAAAGGTTTCCAAATTTGGTGGGAACCATAAACTCACAACCAAGGAAAACTCAGAACCCCAATCACCAAAAGCGTGAAAAAAGCTATACCAAAGTACACTATAATAAAAGGTTGTTTATAGCAAAGGTAAAAGATAAATTTTAAGGGGCCAGAGGGAAAAAGGTAATTTCCAAGCAATTTGGGAACACGTTTACAAAGGTAAGAATGACACCAGATTTTTAGAAAGTATTTTGAAAAGTCAGCAGAACAACGTATTTCAAACACTGGGGAAAAATCCTGTCAATTCTATGCTCATAGAAAATATCTTTGAGGGACCAGCAGGTGGTGTGGTTGAAGCCCTGGAATTCCCACATGGTCAACCACAGTTCGAGTCCTGGTCCTGGTGGCTTGCTTTCTCATTCTTCCTCTCTGTCTTTCAATAGCAAAATTCATGTGAAAATAATAATAATAAATAAATAAAATCCTTTTTTTTTAAAAAAAAAGAAAATATCTTTGAAACACAAAGTCAAAGTCTTTTATTAGACAAAAGCTGAAGAAAATTCATTGCTAGTCAATCTGTAATACAAGAAACATTGAAAGAAATCTTTTGGGCAGATAGGAATACACCAAGGACCAGCAAATTATGGTCTGCAACATGTTACTGTCCATAAGCTAAGAATATTTTTTAACTTTTTCAAGGGAAATAGAAAAATATGTCCAGAGATTGCCAAATATTTCAGGAGTAAGGAACAACCGACCTCTAGTTAGGAACTCTTGGCTATATAGTGTACATCCCTGTTATAACTATTGTTGGGTTGGATAAAAAAGCAAGTCGCAATAATATGCCTACAAGACACTAAATAATGTAAAACCCAATAGGTTAAACCGAAAAAAGATAACGATGGTAACACCAGTTAAAAGGAAGCTGAATGGCAATATTATTGTTAGATAAAGTAGATTTTGCAGTAAAGGACTTTGCCAAGGATAGAGGATCAACCACTTTAGAAAATACTAAGGCAGTTTCTTGTTAAATACTCCTTTGCTATCTATATGATTTAGTCATTCTACTTGTAGGTGTCTACCAGAGGAAGGAAGTATTTGTCCATACAAAGATTTTTACACAATGTTCATGGTGCTATTTAATAACCAAAAATAGAAACAACTGAAAAGGTCTATCAACCTTTGGTTTGGTTCCTAAGAAAAAAACCCATGAGTTATCTGTGTATAACTTTAACCAGCCTAATACTCTTTAACAGGGGACTCTGAAAAAAAGATCACACTGGGTACATGTGCATGTATGCCCAAAATCTCATGAAGGAGAAGGGAATTCAGCATGGCCATCCCCTCTGGTGGTTGATTTCTCACTTTCCCTTTCATTTTCTCTCTCTGTCTCTCTCAGGCTAGCAAAGGCACTGTATGGCAAAAGCCTGTAAGAAAGGAAAACAAACGTGTTGTTATTTGGCTAGCTGGTCCCATGGAGGTTAATGCAGCTGGGTACCTCATGGTCCACTGCACAGTTTGAGTCCTGGACCTGGAAGCTTGAAAAGCAGGCACGTGTGTGTGAGTGTGAGTGTGTGAGTGTGTGTGTGTGTGTGTGTGTGTGTGTGTATGCACCCAAAATCCTGAAAGGGAGAAATAAGGGAGAGCAGATTGTGGTGTGACCATTTCCCATGGAGGAGTGCTTTCTCTCTCTTTCTTGGTCTCTCTGGTGAGCACAAGCCCTCTGACTAAATTAGAAAAAGAAAAAAAAAAAAAAAAAGAAGAAGTGTTATCCCTTAAATAGTTTCTTTCGAAATGTTTGTCAAGTAACAGTTGTTTTCAACTAGAAAAAAAGAATATTTGACCAAGTGATATTGATATTTACTAATTCATTTTCACTGGGTAAAGTGAGCAGAATGTCTTTGGATGCTAGGTTGCTGCATTGTATGTGGGTTGGTAACTGTTACAGCCACATGTTAGATACATGGGGGAACAGAAGTATCACTTCTCATTCATCATCAGTCTCTCTACTTTTGTGCTTCTTTGAAATTCTCTATTATAAAATATTTAATAAATTTGTTTTCAATGGTTATTTAATTCTACTTATTTATTTTAATTTTACCAGAGAGAGAAAGTGAGAAAGCAAGCCACCAGGTCCAGGACTTGAACCATGGTCAGCCATGCAGGAATCTAGCGCCTCAACCACCACACCACCTGCTGGCCCCTATTTAAAAATTTTTTATAATACCTACATTATATTTTCTACTTCTGTAAATAAATCTCATTGAGTTTCATGTGAGGTTATATTTAAACAACATATGTTGATTTTGCTACATGTATCTAACAAACTGAAACTTTATGTAGCTTTTTCTCGCAAGTTGGATTATACAATCTGCACAAATTTGTGGGAAGTGTCACTTCTCAATGACCTGCAATGGTAAAAAGTAAATGAACTACTCTTGTCACGCTGCACAGTTTTTATATTTTATTATTTTTATTTTAAATTTAGTTTTTTACATTAATTCACTATCATTGCAGCATACAGAATGAGTTTGCCCATCCAGAATACACAGTAAATTGACTCAATCAAAGATATTACCTTACATGTTATCTTCAACAAACACTTTTTCATTTCTCGTTTTTTATGTACTTTACTTCTTTTTCCCCCCTTGATTCCCTACTTCTCACCCTCTGCCATTTTTCACCCTCCTCCCATACTGTCTCTGGTATCTATAATTGCTTTCCATGTTTGTTTTTTTTCACATTTTTATTGATTCACAAAAAGTCTTAATTAAATATTTTCAATAATAAATTGATATAAACATATCTACGAACACATGTCTGACTTTAGGTATAAAACTCAGTGACTAGAATGAACATATAAAGTGACTAGAATGAACTATAAAGTGGCACCTAACTGAGGCTATATAGCTTACTGTGGTCATTAAGTAGGAATGTTTTAAATTTATTTTTTGTTTGTTTATTTTTTATGTATTTTAATTTCAAGAAAAGCAGTTTCTTAATAAATCAAAATTTTAAAATGTTGAGAAACATTTGCTTAAGACTTAAAGTCAGGAAAAAGGTTAAGATTCTGTTCAAACAGTAGGTAGATACTAAAACCTCAAAAAACAGATGTGAACAAAGCTAAAATCTTGTAACAAGTGCACTATAATCTTCTTCTGAAACTTTTTTTCTCTCTCCATTCCCCGTTTTACTAAAGAGAGGCATAAACTAACTTATTTGCAAAAAAAAATAAGTTTAGTCTCAATTTGGTCTATTATTTATACAAAGCCTCATAAGAACACTAATTGATGTAGTGGGCTTTGTTGGCACCTTTTATAAGAACTTCAGATTAGACTCTTTAAAAAGCCTTCCACATCAGGAATCCACCTTCTGACTGTGGCTTTAAGTATCTGTACTTGAGAGTTTTCTGGGCCTGTCAGGAAGTGACTTTCTTTACTTACCTGCCAGGCAGAGCTGTTTGTAGTTCCAGGAAATCTTTCCAAGCCTTCCGTTGGCTTTCTTGAGATCTACTTTAGGTCCTTAGCTTTCAGGTCATATCTTTAGATATGATATTCCAATCAAAGCCCTGGAAATAACCAGTGTTTCCAATTTCTGACACAAGGCAACAGATATTATTGAACTTAACTTTGCACGATTTTTAGTTAGCTGAGATTGAAAGTTGTACATATAGTACTTACCGTATCTACACATGATGAAAGAAAATGCATAGTTGTTTTCTGTCTCACAATATGCTTTAATGATGATATGGCTTTATCACTAACAATAGTGGAATAACTAAGAAATTAAGCTGGGAAGTTGAATGTATTTTTTTCCTTCATCAATAAACTCAGCCAATTGTTTACAGATAGCTTTTTTTTTTTTATTTTTTGCCATAGGACATGTGTGCTCACTAGAGGAAGGCAGGGAGAGAGGAGGGGAAAGAGAGAGGTATACAGAGAAAGTGAGAAATCACCCCTCAGGAAGGATGGCCAAGCACCAATTGCTTCTTCTTTATTCTCCTCTCAGAATTTTGGACACTCTCACATCTGGTGTGTTTCAAGCCGCTGGAACCAGGACTTGAACTACTGAGTTGGCCATGTGGGATCTAACACCTTAACCATCATGCCATCTGCTGGCCCTACAGATAGCTTATTAATTTAGAAGATTTTAAGCTTTTAAGACTGTTATCAACATATTTGATAAGCCTATATATTAAATTATCTTCATTACCTTTTTTTTTTTAGAGAGAGATTTTTTGCTTATAGAGTGTGTGCGTTTGCTGGTGAGACAGAAAAAGACAGAGAGAAAGTGAGAAATCACCTCCCAGGGGGAATGACCATGCCGTAATTCCTTCTCCAGTCTCTTCTTGGGATTTTGAGCATGCATGCACATGCACCCAACATGAGTTTTAAGCCACTGGGTCCAGGACTTGAACCATGGTTGACAACATGGGAGTTCAGTGACAACCATTAAGCCATCTACTGGTCCCTCGTCTTTATAATCTTTTGTATTTTCTTTGTAGAAAGTGGTTTGAATGAAGTAAAAATTTGCTGTTTGAAGTTAACACTTTTCTCCATGTTGTCATTTTATATCCCAGATCCAGCGTCTGAACTTGATCTCTGTTTTCATTTTATACTCTTTATTATTTTCATTTTAAAAAATATAGTTTAAGTCTTTCCATCATCTTGGAGCCTGTATAAGCCTGCTGGGGACAGGACTTCTCAAAGGCAAGAATGTCTGGAAGACTGTCGTCCTAGGTCACTTCTGTTGGCTCTAAGTGGGGTCTCAGAAAGTAAAGGGAACACACAGCTCTCCTTAAAACTGAAGGTGTTCATGCCAGAGATGAAACTGAATTCTGTTTAGGCAAGAGGTATGCTTATGTGTACAAAGCAAAAAACAACTCAATGACTCCTGGTGGCAAACCAAATAAAACCAGAGTAATCTGAGGAAAGGAAACAGTGCCTATGGAAACTGACATAGTTCAAGCTTCCAAAGCAACCTTCCTGCTAAGGTCATTGGGCCATTGGACACAGAATCTGTGTGATGCTGTACCCCTCGATTTAAAATAATGAAAAGTAAATAAATTTTTAAAAATTTTAAGCTTTATTTATTTATTTAAATTTGACCAGAAAGGGACAAAGCGAGAGAGAGGGCAAGTGAGAAAGCAAGGCACTAGGTCCAGTACTTGAACCGCAGTTGGCCCTGTGAGAGTCCAGTGCCCTTAACCACCATGGCACCTGCCAGCTCCCAAAAATGGTTTTGTAAAAACTAGATATGCAGTATTTTTTAAAGAGATTTTTGCTTAGGGTGTGTGCACTCACCAGAAAGAAAGAGACAGAGACAGTAAGAAGGAGAGTGAGAAGTCACCTCCCATGGGGGATGGCCACGCTGTAGTCCCTTCTCCTTCATTCTCCTCCTGGGATCTTGAGCATGCATACACATGTGCCTGGCATGAGTTTAAGCCACCGGGTCCAGGACTTGAACCACCGTCGACTACATGGGAGTCCAGCGACATAGCCATTATGCCAACTGCTGGTCCCTAGACCAGATAATATGTTTTGACAAGTGAACTGCATGTTTGTAACTGACACTTTTGGTTTGTTTTGGTCTTGATACTTCTGTCAGTAGCAGATGAAATTCCTTTATACACTAAGTCACAACTAATTCAATTACATTAACCAAAAATTTAATTGTACAATCATTAGCTTTTTCATTTAGGTGATAGTTTAATTGAATATCTTATACCAGGAACTAAACTGAGAAGACAGCAATCAAAATATCCTGCTGAGTCGATTTCTGTTCATTTGAGGGAGAGATATTTTCTTGTATTTTAATGTTTCTTGTGTTTATGCATTGATTTTTTTGGGGGGCGTCTGATGGAGTACTTGCTTATTTCTAATTTCTGGGCTAGGTTTTATATTTGCAGCATTTTGTTTAAAAAAATTCATTTGGAGGCAAGCAGGTGGCATGGAGATAAAGGTGGCTGGATCCCACATTCCACATGACTGGCTGTGTAGTTCAGGTCCCAGACCCAGTGCCTTGAAAATCACTCCAAGCGTGTGTGTGTGCCCCAAATCCTGAGAGGTAAAACAAGGAGAATGGGTTGCAGTATTGCCACCCCCCTGGGGAGTGGTTCTCACTTTCCCTCTGTCTTTGTCTTTGGCAAGCACATGTGCCCTAGAGCAAAAATCTGAGAGAAGAAAAATATATTTATTTATGCCTTTATTTACTGAATACTTTGTATATTTTAGGTATTTTAACTGGGGATCGGGGATGTCTGGGCCAGCATTTTGGGTTCTAGGTAATGTTAGTGTTTTACCCTGGTGTTTCACCTATTGAGGGGTGGATTTTCTTGAACTGGTGGCAACTACTGCCATGAAGTGCAGTTACCTGAGTTCTCAGACACTTTGTAGGGTTCAGGATCCTTCTTAAGGGAGGTAGCTGAGTGAAAATATTAACCCAAAGTAAGTAATGTCTTCTGCCTGGATCAGGTGCACACAGGAATGATATTGGTTGAGAACTTGTGACTCAGGGGTGGCTACTATCGTTGTTTAGTTAGCCATCTGTGCAATCCCTGGAGATAGAGGAAGCTGCCAATTCCAGTGTCTGATTCTCTCCACAGCCATGTCACCCCTCTGCATGTGGTTCAATACAGGTGGTTGTGGCAGGGTTGTTATTGGCTCAAAATTGGGCTGCGCATGCCTTCTCACATGGATGTGAGGCTGAGTGGGAACTGTGTACCGCCACTGTGCAGCTACAGGGAGGAATGGAGTTGCTATATGTCTTTGGAGCTAGGGGAAGAGGCTAGAGATGTCTATGTCTGCCCACTGGGCCTGAGGGCCGGGCTGAGAGACTATGCAAGAACATCTCACTTCTGGTGGCTCAAGCTGGGTGGTCTAGCGGTGAAAACAGCTCAGGTTTCCTGGTACAAGCAGCGTGGATCTGACCATCTGCACGTGTCTTTGCAGTTGTAGTGACTGAGGGGGCAGGACTCAAGTGTCAAGGGTCAAGTTTAAATTGTAAGTCTACCTGTATGTATGTATGTACGTATTTCCTTTTTTTAATTTTTAAATTTTTTAAAGAATTATTTTACTATATTTATGTATTTATTTATTTTTAATTTGACCGGAGAGAGACAGAATGAGAGAGAGAGAGTAAGCTGCCAGGTTGAAGAGATTTTTGTTGTACTGAAGAGACAGAGAGACAGAAAGCGAGAAAAGTGGGTATGGCCACGCTGCAGTCCCTTCTCCATTCTCTTATTGGGATTTTGGGTATATACGCTCTGCATGAGTTTTAAGCCTCTGGGTCCAGGACTCAAACCGTGGTTAACTACATGGCAGTCCAGCAACGTAACCATTACGCCATCTGCTGGCCCCTAGTCTGCCTGCACCTTTGTTGAAAGCTGAACATGCTGGGTAGCAGAGTTGCAGGAGTCTGCCAGCCTGTCCATGTCTGTGCAGTTGGAGGGAGGGGTGCAGCCAGGCTGCAGTCCATGAGGAGTTGCCCTCACAGGGACTGGGCTTCTCAGGCTAGATAGCTGGTTAGACAATGCCCCATCTTTCCCCTCTCCTAGAGGAGAGATCTCTGGCACCTCCTTCCCACCCCTCCACTGGTACGTCTATTCAGGGAGATCTGAAGAAGCTGCAGTAAGGCAACGGGAGTGCTTCTGTTGTCCTGGGGAAGGAAAGTGGTAGTGGGAATGTTGTCCTGACTCTCTGGTGCTGTATGCCTTGGGTTTGGGTTGGTAATTCAGCATTTTCTCTGGAGTGGCATATCCTTGCCACTCCCCAAGATGATCTGGTGGTCTGTGTTCCTCTATGTCCTCTACTGTGGTTGGTAAGTGCTGGGGTTCAAGGTAGAAGCAAAGAGCTGGAAGCTGGAAGCTTTAGAGGGGAGTTCTGCTCACCTCCCTTCCATTGTAATAGGCTTCAGTCATCTCCGATTTCTTTCCAAGTTTAGGCAATTGACCTCTTTCTTCCATCTTCTGCTTGAGTGAGACTCAGTGCTCCTGATACTCCGCACAATCATGCCCTTGTGATCTCACCTCACTCCTCTGCTCCAGGTACAGCCATCCATGCGACTTTTGGGGGCTTTCCTACCAGAGAACTGCCACATGGATATTCCTAGTTGTCCATCTCACCCCTCCTAATTACTTTTTAAATGAAACGTATTCATACTAGTGAATGAAGACACTTTAGTGTTTAAAACTCTAATCTTGTAAGCCATTGGATGCATTTTCTCCTTTAACACTACATTCATTGGTAGGCTGCAGTTTCATCAAAACACATTTTTAAATTTTGTTTATTTATTTTTTAACTTGGCCAGAATGACACAGAGAGAGAGAGAGAGAAAGCAAGCCACCAGGTCTGGGACTTGAACCATTGCTGGCCATGTGGGAGTGTCCAGTACCACAACCTCCAAGCCACCTGCTGGTCCCCCACATATTTTTAAATGAAAAACAACAACATGAAAGTCATATTTTTAAAAATCTTGAACATAAAATTAAAAGATAAAACATAAAAGATTTGCATTACATGACTCAGATAAAGAAATGGTCTTACAAAAGTGTGAACAGAGA